GCAATGCATTATGGGATACGCTGGGCCGGGAAGGATCCATCGGACCTGTCCTTCGATTCGGGCCAAAGGAAGGACGTATTTGTCGGCCGCATCGGAGGAGTCTTCAGTTTTGGACGGCCTTCGTCGCGGCGCTGTGACGTATGCAGCCGACAAATTCGGCCTTCGGAGGACCCGGCCTGCCGTTTTGGACACAGCCATTAGCATTGTGAGTAAACATTAGCATCATGCACTGATGGCTGAATATGAGTGAATTAGACCGACACTCGCTGCTTTTCTAAGCTGAGGTAAGGCTGCCAACTGTCCCGTATTAGCTTGAATGTCCGTATTTTAAGTCAAGTTGAAGTGTCCAGTTCAGGACGCTCTTTCTCTCGACTGTAGTCAGCCGTCAGGTTACGGACGGCGGTCCCCGAGGGACAGTACTGAAGTGGCCAAATGCAACAACCATATGAGAAACAGTGCATTGAAATGACCGACGTACTCGTTCTCTCCCCTGAAGGTGCCCCATGGCAGCCGAGAACACAAACTGTAGCAGATCCATGTGGGGATGTTGACATCTCGTCAGCAGATGCTGCCATTTTCTTCCCAAACTGCTGTGACCAGATTTTGCAAGGCTGCTCTGTGTGTTTGCTTATTTCCTCCTACTTCATTATTTCTACGAATTTCGACAAACTGCGCTGACGTCAGGTAGTTAGCTACAGCTTCGTCTTCGAGTTTTTAATTTTTGATGCGTTTTTGAATAGACCATTTGTTTTGAAAATAGGATCAAAGTAAAACACCCAAGTTTTTTTTAGTGAGCCCTTAAAGATATAAGCCACCATGAAGAACATTATTTTATCTGCCCTTGTTCCAAATTTGAAAATGATTTGAAATTTCGAAGTATGTTTTTTTTAAATCCGGAATAGCGCTTGTTGCAAAATGTGTTGATGCTCATCTTCGTCACCTGACACATTTAACATGCTGTCATTGGTTGATGAGCTTTGTTTACAAAACAGATGTCCACATGGTTTTTAAATTTTTTTAATGTCCTTACTTTCTAAGACACATTAAGTTGATTTGATGCTRCAGTTTGCCTTGTAATGTTATTTTATACCTTTTCTGCTACTTTTGAATTGGCTATTATTAAATTTTATTAGTTTTTAGGAAACATGATGCTTCCTACAAAACCAGAACATGAATATTTTCCTAAAATTTTATGGCGATATCCTGAACACTGAGGAAGTTATGAGCAAAAATAGAAAACAACAAGGTGAAAAGGTCACAAAGGTCACATTGGTTCTTCTGTGAACAAGAAAACATGAGCTGATTTCACCTAAACAAACATCAAAAACTTCCCTCATATTTGAGATAATCACATGATTTTGGTGTTATTTTGTAAGGTTTGAAATGTTCTTTTGTTATCTACTGTCAGATTTAATGTTGGTGTAGGATTAAAAATTTATCCACATCCCTACTTCATGTCATCTGTTTACTGAACATTAGGACAACATGTATGCTTCTGTTAATGTATTGGATGACCATTTTTTATCTTGAATTAAAATCTAAAAGCTACCACAAACATCAAACTATTTAATGACACATTTAGTCTAACAATTGAAAAAATGGGTGAAATATGAAACAAATAAAATGCATATAAAACATACTGAGTTTTTTTTGTACCAAAAATGGCAGAATATCACCTTGTTTGCAGTATCACAATATATCGCGATATACAGCGAGTAAAATAAGTATTGAACACGTCACCATTTTTCTCAGTAAATATATTACTAGAGGTGCTAATGACATGAAATTTTCACCAGATGTTGGTAACAACCCAAGTGATCCATACATACTGTAGGGGTCACCTCGAGTGAAGAAACAGGAGTTCCAG